AGAGATGAAGGGTCTGGAGCACTGGCTGGCTGCCCTTCTGCTGCTGCTTTATGCTATTTCCTTCTTGGGCGACATCCTAATCCTCTATATCATCAAGGAAGAGCAGAGCTTGCATCAGCCAATATACTACTTCTTGTCTCTTTTGTCTGTTAATGACCTGGGTGTGTCATTTTCTACACTGCCTACTGTACTGGTTACTGTGTGTTTTCATGCCCCAGAGATGACTTTTGATGCCTGCCTGGCCCAGATGTTCTTCATCCACTTTTTCTCCTGGACAGAGTCTGGCATCCTACTGTCCATGAGTTTTGACCGCTACGTGGACATCTGTAACCCGCTGCGCTATTCCACAGTGCTCACTGATGCCCGTGTGGTGCATATGGGCATGTTCATTATTGTCCGCAGTTTCTGCATGGTTTTCCCACTGCCTTTCCTGCTGAAGAGATTATCTTTCTGCAAGGCCAACGTACTCTCCCATGCCTACTGTCTGCATCCAGATCTGATCCGCCTGCCCTGTGGTGACATCATCACCGTCAGTTATATCTATGGTCTATTCATTGTTATATTTTCCTTTGGCCTGGATTCTGCTCTCATTCTCCTCTCCTATGTGCTCATACTCCGCTCTGTACTTGCCATCGCCTCCTGGGAGGAGCGATTAAAGACTCTTAACACCCGTGTGTCACACATGTGTGCTGTGCTCACCTTTTATGTGCCCATGGTGTGTGTGTCCATGGCTGCTCGGTATGGGAGGCATGCCCCATGGTATGTACACACACTCATGTCCCTTATCTATCTCTTTGTGCCTACAATGCTCAACCCTGTCATCTATTCCATTAAAACCAAACAGATTCGTCAAAGGATTTGCAAAATACTACTGGCAACCAGGATTTGAGCAGGATACTTGCTGGAAAGAAGAGATTCAGAGGATGTTTATCTTTACTCCACAAATATGAGTTTTCAAGACCTGCTTCAACAGGGCATTTTTAATATCCTTTAGGGCACTTACCTTCCATTAGGATTCCTGCCATCAAATGCTGGATCCTGGCAATAGTTAAGACTGAAAATAACAAGTTTTGCCAAGGTAAACTGGGCTATAATTTAGAACAGGTATTTGCTCAATTTTCTTTTTAAATCCAAGAATATACATTCTCATAATTAATTGTTCATGTTGTCACAGTATGTAGCTATTATCTTTTGTTTAATATGAATCTTCAGAAAGGAAATAACTGATTACCATGGACACACTGTCATTATGGGGAAGAGTTTCTTTTCCCAAGTGTCATGTCAAAGAGATATTAAAAATCACACACACATACACACACACACACACCCCCCACAACCCAATAGGTATGCATGCCACTATTTATTTCATATAATATGAACCATCCACTTGGTGTTTAGAAATGGTATGTGTAACTACATGTAAGTTATATTAAATTATATAACTTTAAGTAATATTAAAAATTGGTGAAGTTTGTAGGATAATTTACATTGTATGCCTGTGTGTATAGTAACAGGAATTAAGAAAATAGTAAATAGGAAGACTGTGTGATAAAATATATGAAATACATATATATAGAGAGATTTACATATATATGTATATGTGTGTATATACATACATATAGGATTAAAGCAATTAATTTTTAAATAAATTCTTTAATATAATTCATCACATTAATGATTGAAATAATAAAAACTCTCTGTAAGCAATAGGCTTCAGAAAAGGTGAAATGAAACAAAAATATGTTTTACATAAAAACAAAGCAATTGTTTTGGTGTATTAACTTGTCAGGTCATATGCTCTGTGGTTAAAATAATTAAAAAATGTATATAATTTTTTATCATTTACTTGAAGGAATCCTTGACCAATGTAGTGAAACTGGAGATAGAAAGAGCTATTTTACGTTATCCCTTTATCTGTGATTGAATGCCAAATCCTGACAATTTCGATGAGACTTTGACTTATCCTGTCTCTGTCTCTGTGTCTACATCACCACTGTTGCTACCTTATTTGGAGCCTTTATTTTCTCCTGTCACTTCACATGGCATTGTCTTCCAAACTGATCTCCTTGATTACCTTTCTCTTTTTTCACTTTCCATGCCACAGCTATAACGATCTTCCTAAAGAGTCTGTCTGATTATAAAATGTATCATACCCGTTAGTTTTTTTATTACCTAAGAATCAAGTCCCTTAGCACATCTCTTAACATTATCATCCCAGCAAGTGTCTATCTTTTATGTCTTATTATCCTTAACCATTTTTCCCACCCCAAAATAATTTGCTCTAGCTATACTAAACTACGTGTGGTTCCTGAAACAACTGGCTGCTTTATGCTTCTGCAGTTTTGTTCTAGTAGCCTCTATTTACAAGTTCTCTATGTGCATATTCCTGACACTGCACATCAGTCTATTTATCCATCAAAACAATATTTATTAAACAGATATCATGGGCCAGGCACTGACTCAGCTTTTGGGTTATCCACTCTATGAAGAATTTCCTGCCCTTTGTTTACTACATGACCTCTACCTACCTGCTCCTCCTACCTCAAAAACTAATAACACAGATATTCTATTATTATTATACTAATGTATTTTTAAATGTAGAATATCATAGTACTTCGATATCATTCTGTCCTTTTCTGTTTCCTGCATATAGTTGTCTATTTGAATAAGTTTCTTGAGAGAATGAATTATTTTCTTAATATTAGAATAAGTACAAAGTTTTTGAAAGGTATTTCATGGCCTTAGAAAATGCCAGTCTCCCTGAGACTCAATTTAATCATTTATAAAATTGATTTTTCAAGTGACTAGAATCTTTATAAAGTCTTAAGATAATGTATGTAAGACGGTTGAAATACTGGTTAGCATATCATACATACTTAATAAAAAAAAACTCTTACGGTAACTAGATTTTTATCTTTTATAGTTTAGCACTGTAAGATTACATAATAAATTTTAATACATACTTATAGAATAGATAAATGAATTAATGTGACCATACTGTCATTATTCACAAATAATATTTCTTATGGATCAAGAAAACACAAAGGCTTAAGTGTAAATATTACTGAAAACTGATAAAATTTTACATATATGATACAATAATATGAAACCATTAATTTCCAAATACTGTAAAATACTTGAATTAATAAATGATTTAATTCTTAACAAATTAATTTATCTTGGAAACATTTTAATGAGAAATTTTATAGAAGAAAATTCCAAAAATTATACATAGATTTAAAAATAAGATTGGATGGATGAATGAATATAAAAGCATGTGTCTAAATGGAAAGATTAAACAAATAATGTAAAGGTGTCAGTTCTCAATTCAGCTTGTTCAATTCTGAATGTTTTTGGTAATCCAACAAAATAGTTTTCAAGTTAGTTTGTAATTCTTTTACAAATGAGACTGTCTACCCTCAAAAGTTTTAAAAAGGTGATCGAATGAGAACAGAAGTATAGTAGACCTTCCAAATGTTAAAATGTGGAGATAAAAACAAAGAAGCTATATTAATTAAAATAGAACATGTGCTGCCAGAACAGATTTCTAGCACAGAATAGCTGAAAACAGTGTAGAAACCAAGTAAAAGAATATTTTCAAATAAAGTACTCATCAAATAGCATTATAGATACTGACTTTTGTTTTGATAAAAACACGAACATGCCATTGTTAAATATTTGTACATTTGTCTAGAACAAGTATTTCAAAGGATTATCAGAAATATTAGTATCTGGTTAGTGAGATTTGGGAAAATGCATTTTCTGATTTTCTACAATACATATAAATTAAGTGTGTAATAATCTGAGGCAGAAGGAGAGAAAGAAAGAAGACATATTTTTAGATGAATGCCAGAAACTGGGAGTAATCTGAGAGCTTCAAGGAGGTAAGCCTCAAAGGGAGCAGTCAGATTGTTGGTACTCTTTTTTTTCTCCACTGAGGTGCTCTCTGAGTGCACCTCTCTGCTCATCTCAAGGGATAAGTGTTCCCCTTTCCTATAAAGCCATTTTATCCAGATGTGACTATGGGCTGCAAAGGGCCCATCATCATTTCCCATGGGGCCCCCAAGAGACTAATTTCCCCTGGCACTCAGGGAATTCAGTATATACTGGGAACAATCTTACCTTCAACTCCCAGCTCCCTCTTCACCGGAAGGCAGTGCTAACCAGAATGTGTTGTCTTTAGTCCAAGGATAGCATCAGGTAACTAATCTGAAATGAAACAACACAACATTTTATGTATGGTTTGGCTGATAATCAGGACTACCAATGTCACCTGATCTCTTCATTTATCCGGACCAATTAGACCAATCATTTAAAACCTCTGATGCTGGCCGGGCGCGGTGGCTCAAGCCTGTAATCCCAGCACTTTGGGAGGCGAGGCGGGTGGATCACGAGGTCAAGAAATCGAGACCATCCTGGTCAACATGGTGAAACCCCGTCTCTACTAAAACTACAAAAAATTAGCTGGGCATGGTGGTGCATGCCTGTAATCCCAGCTACTCAGGAGGCTGAGGCAGGAGAATTGCCTGAACCCAGGAGGCGGAGGTTGCGGTGAGCGAGATCGCGCCATTGCACTCCAGCCTGGGTAACAAGAGCAAAACTCCGTCTCAAAAAAAAAAAAAAAAAAAAAAAAAAAAAAAAAACACCCCAAAAAAAAAAAAAAAAAAAAAAAAAAAAAAACAACCTCTGATGCTTATTTTAACAGCAGCTAACTGATAGAAATAATAACATTTCTTTTATTTTTTTGCTACTTTATTAAGATGTAATTGACATAGAAAAAACTGCATATTTAATTTCTACGAGTTGATGAGTTTGGAGATAAGTAACAGCCGTAAAACCATCACATCAATCCATATCATAAACATAGGCATCACCTCTAAAATTTCCCTCTTACTCTATTTGTGGTAATGAGAACACTTAAGATCTACCCTCTCAGCACATTTTCAAATACACAAAATAGTATTGTTAACCACAGTCATCATTTAGTAAAGTAGATATTTAGGACTTATTCATCTTGTATAACTGGAACATTGTACCCTTTGACCAAGAGCTATTAGTAGATATTAGTATATCCTCATCTTGGCTAATTGGTTAGTGGGATCCATAAGGCAGTAATAATGTTTAAGCAGAGAGTTGGTGGATGAATAACTAGCCCAGTGAAGGGAAAGTGCATGGAGAAAAGCTTCCAGGGCATGTGAAACAGTGTTTGTTAAGGCCTTGAGGTTGGAGTGATCCTTGCATCTTCACGGAACTGAAAGGAGGCCATTTTGGTTGGAAGAGAAGAACAAGAGAACAATGATTCAACATAAGTTAAAAATGAAGATCATATTAGCCAGTGCTTTACAGCCAATATGAGTGTTTGGATTTTATCACCATGAATATAGCATGAAGAAATTTGACTTAATGTTGATGTAATTTGGAAAATGAATTAGAAGAGGACTGAATAATGTGGGGAAATCCATTAAGACATTATTGAAATGTTGATATATGGATCTAGAGAATGACTGTGGGACTGGTAAGAAGTCAATGAAGTAGAAAGATATTCAGGATTTGGATTCAAAGGGATATAATATTTTTGCAAGTAGAGTTCATAAGGCAAACACGAATTTACTGAGCTCACTCCTCTCTACCCTGGCCATTTCTATTTCAATTGCACTAATGTTCCAGATTATTTTAGTTCTTTTCCTTTAAAGTGGTTCCTATTCCTACCACCCTTAACTTATTCTCTAAAGCAAATTAATGCATGCAATTATTTGTTTAGCCTGTTGTCCTGATCACTGTGAGATCGGAGAAAAGGCTTATCCTGTTCACTGTCATACCTGAGAACCTCCTTCAGTATGGTTTTTTCTCTCGAAGATGACTTTACACTAACCAACACATTGAAATGTC